ATTGACACAAAACTGACTTATTTGGCTAATTGAACGACGCGGTTGGCTGGCTGGCTGGTGGTTGCCCCATCCGCAGCCGCATCCGCATCATGCAGATGTATTCCGGATAATACTACTCCACTTTTTCCCACTTTTCAGCTCGGTTATGCATGACGCCTTGGCACTTCATTGAGTCGATTCCATCCGCTTTTGGCAACTCAGCCAAATGACATTAATTAAGCTAATTAATATCAATTGATAGCCGTCAAAATGGAAGTTTGTTTTGTTGCCAAAGCTAATCAGTGGTTTGCAAGGGAGGCGGGTAGTTATGTAGAGGTTTCGGTAGGTTACAGCTCATTAGAGAAGGAGTGAAAGGAGGCTCAAGGGCTTGGATTACTTTTAATTAAATTATTCCCTTTCTTTCGAGGAATAAGAATTAGTTAAGTTCCTCAATAATCCTATCTTCTCTATCATCTAATGCTACATATTTTTAACCTGAGCTGGAGCTCGGCTAGAATAATATGCCAGCAATTGGCAATTTTACGATGTAATTTCTTAAATTCACTCTTATCCGGATTCCTTAAAACCCTGCTCGGGGGATATATATTTTATTAAGAAAGTTCTTAGTAAGTATAGATTCCAAATGCAACAAATTGAGGCTACCGCTACCTCAAGTCCTTCAATTACTCATCCCCAAATACATTTTCTTTCTGGGTTCCGCCCTCAACAACTCCAATTACCCCAAAAGTATGATTAGTTCCACCATATTTATGACTTTTTTTAGATATCATAAATCTGTTTACCCGCCATAAACAATTTCCCCAGGCGCCATCAAAAATCAGACCATAACTATTTCGAACTGATGTATTTTTTTGCATATCAATAATTTGTATCGCTCCAAGGGTGCGGCCACGCCCTCAACAACTCAAGCACGCAACAAGGAATCGAGGAATCAGGAAAAAATAAAATCAAAATAGAGCAAAAGAAGATGTGTCTGAGCGGAGCACTCGAGCACCTCGCCCACAGCACAGCTAAAAAATTATAATCCAATTCCATTGTTTAGCAGCAACCGCAGCAGCAGAAATGCGAGGGGAGAAATGAAATTTCGCAGACAACGACTGCGCTTATCACCTACAAAAGCGGGGAACAATGGGTCTAGATGGATGCAGAGAAGGATGGATGGTTGGATGGCTGGATGGCTGGAGGGTCTCACTCCCCGCTAAGCATCGACACAGCAGTCGAGCGTGAATTGCAGCGTAATCTCTTCCGGTTATGATTACGCCCTTAAGTGAGGGGATCTTCCCGCGAACGGACAGGACGATGATGCCAGGGCATTGTCTGGCTTAATGCTGTGACCTATCAGCTTTGTATCTTGTATCTCGGCTCTCGGCTCTCGGCTCTGCACTGCACTGTACTCTGCCTCTGTTCATCTCCTTGTGAGCGCAATCTGCTGTGATTATAATTTCTTAAAAAGCTAAAGCTGCATTTTCCTTTCAATTACGAGGCATCACCATCTTAATGGCCATGTAAGTGTATCACTCTCTGCTTCTGGTTCCTGCCGCCTGACAATGCGCTGGCAAAAACACTTAACCCACGCCGAGCCGTGGCCCGAGCTGTTGATAGCCGACGACGACGACGACGACGAGAAGAACCTTCGCTGTTCGGTAATTGTGTCGTTAATTGTCGAGGTGTCGACCCCGCGCTCGCGCTCTCTGAACTATGACACGACTTTATCCTCCTACGCTTCGAATGAGTCCCATATCCCATGTCCCATGTCTCTCATGTCAATGGCTGGCTGCCATTAAAAAAAGGAAACCACGGGGGCTGAAGATGCGAGCATTATGGCATTCTATATATGAGTATGAGTACTTATAGTTTGGTTTCTGTTTCTTTTGTGTGTGAAGGATGGGTAGGATGTGTAGATTACACTGCAAGAAATTTGTGTACACCAAAAAGTGAAGATGAGTTCTTTGGAAAAGAGTGCTTTTACATTAATATTTCTTCTGATTTCTTTGGATAGTCTAGTAGAGATTTAGAATGTTCTTAAAGGATATCTGAAAGGGTTTGTGGGGACGACTTTTATGGGTCGTTTTTCTGACGATCTTTTACTTTTAGAATACTTTATATTTGGAATCCCTTTCTAATAAGCGATATAAGTATAAAAAAATGACTAGATAAAAACGATTTCCGCTCCATAATGAAAGGTATGCACTTTACTTTTCTGTTGAAAGAAATATCCTAGCTAAACTTCTCATACTTTCAAGTGATTTTTGTGTGAGCTAAGTATATTAAGTATAGTGGAATCTTATCAAAGAAGGAAACGTGCCATACAACCCAATATAATATCAATATCTGTCGTTTTGCTCTACCACTCTGACCACTCTTATTCCATCCTATGTATTGTTGAACATATTGTCAAATATAATAGCAATCCAAATCAGAATGTAGCAAGTGCAGCTGATGGGGGTCTCAGGTCTCGGGTCAGTTCGGTTATGTGCAGAGCAGTTGCTCGATTTCCCAGGGCTCGGGCCCATTATGGACCGAGGTGAGAAGATACAAAATGATGACAATATATGATGGGATCTGCATGATGCTTGGCAACACATTGAAATGCATTCAACTCGACGTAACGCGGCTCAATTAGTGCGGTTCAGCGGCTTCCAATGCAGCTTCAGAGCGCTCTCCTCCTTCCTGTTGTTGCCATTGTCGCTTCTCGCTTGTCGCCTGTCGCTTATATACGTCCTGGGCCGACAGTCGTCAGTCGCCCGTTGGCGGCTTTATGTCAACTTCTTACACGCTTATTCACACCTGAGGACAAAAAAAGAGCGCCCGCCCCGCTGCCAGTTTGTGCTGCCTGACAAGTTATGAATATGCTGAATATCCGAGTGGTTTGCATGCCCTTTATCTAGCCCAAAGGCTCTGCCTTCCCTCCCCCTCAAGCACCTCCCCAGCGGCATAAAGCATATTGCCGGGCATTGAGGCATCCCTCATTACGTGGCAAAATCCGACGCACCGACTTTCTATTAATTAGTTTCATGTGCTTTCAAGTTGTGGCTGTGGCTAGAGATGTTCTAGCCAGTTGCTGTCTTACAGTTTTGAAGCACTGAGAGAAATTCTTTGATTATAGCAAACAAGCGTCGCAACTTCAGATACTCTTGTAGATTCATGATTCCTTGAGAAGAATTATGATTAGGCCATACGATTTTGGTCATAATTGTCTGAAATATGAAGAAACATATTGAACTACAGCTCTTGGACAGTCTGACGATTGATTTTTGATATGTCAGCTGTACACTAGTAATATATTTGCCCAATCTTTATCAATTTTGTCCGAATGATTTAATACTAAAGATGTTATGACCTAAAGATTGTTTCGACAGATTGTTCATATTGCTGGTACCAGCAAAAGGAAGGGCCTGCAAAAAGTTTAAGATCCTATTAATAATTAGATTGCCCAAAAGTATAGAAAGTGTACTTAATCGAAGATGCAACCTGTTCTCTGAGATCATTCTCCATTCTAGTATTCGCTGGCTGTACTGATCGAAATTAAGTTAACTTTTTTTTTGCCGCCACAAAAACACAAATAGAATAACAAATTCAAAATTAATAATAAAGTAAAAACAAAAAGAGAGAGGGCGACATCCAACAGCAAAGATGCCTTGCTGCGCACAGGACAGCACCCATGACTTGACATACGAAAATGTGTTCGAGGATAAATCGACTAGGCGCAGTTTCATTATGAAAGTCTGTTTGATAACGGCAGTAAGTTAAAGATGCCATCGGGCAATCCGGCATGAAAAGAGACATCATTTGATATCCTCGTCTGTCTGCACCACAGTGTATGCTACTTGCGACGACAGCAATTTTGGCAATCTTTGTGACTAATGAAGACGCCAAAAGTTGGCTGTACAGAAATTCTTGGATTGTCATTGTGGCCATCGCCGCCACATTAGTAATTCTGATTATGTGTTGCTATTGCCCCTTCCTTTTCCGCAAGAAGCCGATTAATTATATCCTGCTCATGATATTTGTCGCTGGGGAGTCCATTTTAATATCCTTTATATCAATGAGATATTTGCCCTCTCAGGTGAGCCATCCATCCGCTCTGGGCGTGATTCACTAAATTTCCCCTACATATGTTCCATTTCCTAAATGATTAGGTGTTAATGGCCATTGGCTATACGGCCCTCCTGGTGGTGGCTCTGGCCCTGTTCGCTCGGTTCGCTCCCTGCGACTTCACCGGCTGTGGTCCATATCTGCTGATTTTTTGTCTTGTGTTGTTTGTAATGGCTATTGTTATGTTCTTCTACCGATCGTTCTGGCTGCTCATTTTATTCTGCAGCCTTGGAATATTGGTGTTCTCCCTGTATCTGGTGGTGGACATACAGATGATGATTGGCGGTAAACATAAGAACCAGTACGATGAAGAGGACTACATACTAGCTGCCCTCTCTATCTACATTGACATTATTCAATTGTTCTACTACATACTCCTGTTACTTGGCTTACTTGATGAGTAGAATTACGAGTATTTATTGTGCTGATTTGAATTTTAAGTGCAAATTTGTAAATGTATGTAAATTAAGGATTACACTATCTATCGTCTATAAACTCAATAGCTTTTATCAACGCGAAAACTTGAAGGATACGCAGAGAAATAAAAAGAAGCAGCGGTAACGTTGTGAGCCCTGGCAAGGCCCGGCAAATTGTAAAATATTTTAGCTGTTTCCACTCGTGTATAAACACAAGAATAAATAGACACGAATACCAGGACGTTGAAGATTTTTTTATGAAAGCATAGCAATCTTTAGGATCCCACATACCAAAACTCTTTCCGCAGTTTCTGTAATATTTTACTTCTGATAATGTTTGCCGGTCTTTTGATCGATCAAAATATTTTTACTGTACTGAGTTTTCCCTCAAATTCCCTGAATCATTGCTACATTGTCAATATATTTCCGAAACATTAAAGATCTGTATTTACAAAAAGAAAATAACAAAAACTAAAAAAATCTTCAATCATGACCGAGGTGCAAAAGTTAAAGGATGATCTGTCTCTGATCTACACAAAGAACGAGATGAAGCGAGTGACGGATATACTTGATATAGTCAACAAGATTCCATGCTGTCACTGCGGCCACAAGATTCGATTGGCTTTGATTTCGCCGGTGGTGCACAAAATGTTCAATAAACGGAACGTTCTCATCGCAATTGGAGCTGTGCTGGGAGTGATACCCATCCTCACAGCGTATCTGACCAGAAGGTATAACCATAATCAATCCCATGGCAGTAGTGCTTGTGTGTCGTCATTTTTCTACACCCTGACGGATTGCGAAGTGGTCTTTTGAGTGGCCCTGCGTTCCTGCTTTTATGTTGGCGTACATTTATTTTATATATGCATTCCGTTTGTCAGTTGGATAAATGTTTTAACATTTTATTAAATCGGTAAAAGTTTTGTAGTTACGTTACCAACTTATTAACTGCAATTCTAATTTCCTTAGATTATTAAATTTTCCAAGGAATGCCATAGTTTCTATCAATAATTTACTCCCACGGCCATCTCTATTAAGCGGAGTACAAAACAAGAACCGTGGGTGTCCGTTCAAGAGGGCTTTCGCTATAAATAGAGGGAGTGGAAGGGCCGGGCATTCGTTGGCAAGGGCGTGTCTGTCTGGCATTTATCGAAAACATTTCGTGTACAACTTTTTCCCTCGCCTCATGATTGGGCGCTGCCATAAATTATTCATAAACATAAATGCCAGAAAGAGACCAAAACTGATGGGTAGATTGTGAGAGGGATAGAGAGAGCGAGGAAAGCAGAGGTCGATGGGGAGGTTGGGAGTTGGCAGTCATCGACCCAACATTGAACATGGCCAACCAGTCTGATTGAGTTAGCAAGTAGAGCATGCAGTACAGTTTTCCCATATTCCTTGTCCGCTCTTGTCTCTTGCCCTACCCACCCCCACATATTGGCCAAGTTGTTAGGCTGGCTCAATATTGACACAAGTTAATTGAAGCCCAACGGCTGGCAAAAGTATCAATGGCAAATGGCGGACGCCTGGTCTCCGGGTTCAACGCTGAACTGAACAACCACGCAGGGCACTTTGGCTTGCTCACATTGTGACCCTCACCCACCCACCCATTCACCCATCCATTCTCAGGGTGGATGTACACACAATACCCACCCATTCTATGGGGTGGGGACGGGTGGCCTAATCCATCCGTGAAAAGTTTAGAGCGGGCACAGGCCGGCAGTCGATTGAGTCTCATACACATACATGTGGAGCGTGTCGATTTCATCACCTGCTGGGCCGGTCATCTCTTTGATAGCTTTAATGGATCCTGATTGCCCAGGACCCAGACGTTTTGTGAAGGCAATTTTAATTCAAATATAATTGGGTCTTCTAAAGGAGTTCACATATGGGGACCATGCTTTTGAAGAAAGGTTTGCCTTTTGATTGGGATGTTCTGGCACTTCTGTACACATATATTAGTGGGTAACGGCCAGAAGAAAAAATTTCTGAAAAAAGTAAATGGTATTTATACTGAAGACGTTTCCCCATAACGGCTTGAATCTTGAATGTCTAATTTCTTTTCCGTTTCTTGTAGAATAATCTATACAATTTACTCTACAGCTATATCTCGATATCTATCACAAATCAATATGATTGAATAAATAGGCATACATGTTATGTATATATTCTATTTTTTTCTAATAAAAAGTTATTCTTTTTTTTGGTTTTTCTTCTGGTAAACGTTGAATTATGTTTTATTATTATTCGATTTCAATGATCTTAAACGTAAAACAATACACGATTCTTGACAGTTAGTTGTATTAATCAAATGTGTACTTCGATATTATTTTTGGTGTTGGCCGCTACCCATCCTATGCTAAGATATATACACACGCTACGTGTCGATCCAGTAGCCATATGCTGGCTGCATATGGCCAGGTCTCTCCAGGGTTAAGGCTCCTTTCAAGCCCAATCGACTTGGTTGCTAAATCGAAAAGAAAATTTAGCATAAAGTCGAAATGGGCCAAAAGGTTTAGTGGTTAAGAAGAGAAAGGAAAAGAGAGAAGTAGGGGAGAGTTGGAGAAGAAGAAAAGCAATTTTTAATGTTTTCAAAAATTATGCATTATGTATTATTTTCGTTTTGAATTAGTTGGTGTTGATATTTTTTTTTTGTTTTGTTTGTTTTTAGTTTTTGTTTTTGAGTTTAGCAGATAGCATAATTAATCGTAAGTGTCGTTTTGTTCTAATTTAAGTTAAATTTAATACATTTCATTTAGTTGTAAATTATTGTAATGTAACTTTTAGGACTAATACAAGTTCGTATCGTATATATATGCATATATTTATAGGTAGGGTTATAATTGTTGTAAATACAATCGAATAATTAACTATTACAGCATAATTACAGAACAAAGTGCTGGGAAATCGTTCAATGGAAATCTTGCTTAAATGTTTTCAATCCGAATAAAGCATCGACTCGGATCGGAGTAGATAGTTCATTCACATAAGCATTACTCTGATAATCGTGTGGCATAAGTATAATGTTGGAGTAGGCAATACAATATATAGTATATATATATATATGGATAATTGAAATTTTGGAATATTAAAATTTGACACAAAATTCTCTTCCGTCATCTCATACGAGTACCTGCATAATAGTGTTCTGGTCTTGTACATTTTGACTAAGCCCCACAAAAAACACAATATCGAAAGGTAACAACAGAACAAAGATTGGAATACAAATACAAATAGAAAATCATATACAAAGAAGGCATAATGTAAGCGCACTTTACAACAATTAGTACATTCGATATATCATCACGATCATCATCATTCGCCGGTCCATATCATTCTCGCCTTAAACTCAAATAACACTTAACACATACGAAAAACACTGCTTATTAAACTTAACATTTATAGAATTGAATTCAAAGCTAAACGGACTTTTATTGCCATATAAATTAGTGTTTAAAATTGAAATGCACTCGGGCACAAAATGAAACAGAATTCTTATCAACGGATCTAATAACTAAGCAAAAGATTACATTAATTAATTGTTATTAATTTTTATTAATTACAAATTAGTTGCTTGGTTGGTTTGTGTCTGTTGTGTGTGTTGGTTGGTTGTTTGTTTGTTTGCCTTCTGCCAGAGTGTTTAGTTAAATAAATATCCTTTTAGTTAGTTGTATCTCCTGCGCAGTTTTTTTGGGCACTGCCTTCGATTAGTCTAGCCTAAGCTCTACACACTAGGAGTTATTCTCACAGTCATCGGGTTTGTGCTTCGTGCGTAAATTGCTCAATAGATCGGCACAGTTATTGACCATCATCAGATAGTCTCCATTCTCAGCTGTCAGCTGCTCATAATTGGTTCCCCCACCAACTCCCAATCCCACTCCTCCCCCATTATTTGTCTTTTCCGTTTGTCTAAAAGGAAGAGAAAACCATAACTTATATTATCTACTTATATATGATTCATTTTTATTGATAACTGTACCTATTTGTGGGAATGCTGCTGAGCATATTCCTGGACATGATCAATGCATTCTCCAGTTCCTTCAGCAGCAGAGTGTTCTTCAAGTTGGCATGCAGCTGCATGGCTGCCTGCGTTGTCGTATAAAGTTTATTGATCACATTGTGGACCTGGGCCTCAGCTAAAAGAGAAAAAATATCTTTGTTATATCATATCTCATATTTAAATGAAAATTTACTTACGATCTGCTCCTTCATAATCTTCTGCAGTCGCCACTCCACTTCTTTGCTTGTTGGCATTGGCGACGGGACTGCTGTTGTTGATCAGTTTGCTCTTGTGATCAAAGGCCAAGTTACGCGGTCGTGGCGGCACTATTGGCTTGTTGTTGACGGTGCTATTGGGCGTCTCCTCGGAGCTGGAATCATCCTGCATGGGTGTGGCTGAAAGGATTATTGTGTATGTTTAGTGTATTGTATTTGCTTGTAAATAAATTAAAATTTTCTGTATTCCTTAAACAAGTAAGGAAAAATAATTAAGAACATTTAATGTGCCCTTCATCATAATGCTTGCTCAAACCGAGTACTCTCTACATTTACCTCTAACGTACATACACCTGTAGATGAATTTATCTTTAAATTAACATCATTTTAATTATATCTCTACTCTTAATGTAAGTTCTAAAATTAAAATGCCGCGAATTTCAAACATTGTACCGTTTGAACAAGCCACTAATTTCTTTACAAATTATAGATTTAAGCAAGAAATTATAGGTTTTCTTTCCAACACACTTGTGGTACTACTGGATAGTTCTACCGTAGTTCATTAAGGTACCAGTAGTCAAAAAAGTAGTTACAAAACATTGAATATTTTATAGTATTCATACTGTTTTCGTTTCCTACTTAAATCTTCCTCTCCTTCCTCTACTTAAATTTTGATACATTTATTGCTTTTGTACACAACTGTACTAACCACTGCTAAAGTTTGGCGTCTTGCGACGATTGTTGTTGACATTGTTGATCTTGTTGCTATACTGTCGACTGGCAGCTGAAAAACGAAAGAATATATATATTAGATTTCTTTGCATATCTTTTGGGTGTATCTCACGACTTACCAATGGGTCCATTGCTGCGTCCCTGGCCATTGCTGGTACTGCGCAACCGATTGCTGTCTTCGGGCTCCGAGTCGCTCTGTAAAGTTAAAACCAAATCACAATTGTTATGATATTTTAATGCGTTATTCTCGTTACTTACACCCTGATTGAGGACATTCATGGAGTTACTAGAGGCACCCAGTCCAGTCTTTCCCTGCAGACTGTTGCGTTTGCTGGCCGATCTGTTTACATTGCCATTGCGATGCTGGACTTGAGGCTTTTGCGGTGTTCCATTCGATTTGCTTGCTGTTATATGGAAAGAAGGGGAAAATATCACAGATTAGATCGTGTTGGGGTACTTTTGCTATTATTTCGAGGCTTCTTACGCTTGCCAAAGTTGCCCATGTGCAGGTCACTCAGCGAGCAGGCACGGCGTATGGATGACTCCTCGATGGGCATGGGATTGAGCGTTTTGGGATTACCTGCAAAATGGGTTGTAGACAAGCGATTAGTGGTTGGATCACACATGCTTGGGGTGTTATCTGCCAGTGCTCAGTCATCGAATGGCGAATGGGTTGGTGGGTCAAAAAAGAACACAAAAACTAAGTATAAACGGGTGCAAAAAGAGGGGTGGGCGCACAATATGAAAGTGGTGGGTGGGGTGGAAACTCAAGAGGAGATTCTATGGTACACAACAACCAAGACGGAATGGGGCTCAAACCTTGCTCCGTCATAAAAACACCATCCGAGGCATGATCATCATCATCCGCATCATCCTCATCATTGATATCCATGGGGTTGTTGCCTGGTTCATCATCTGCAATGACCTCTTTGGCCAGTTCCACTTCATTGCCACCTAAATGGTAGGCAAAATCCGCACTCTCCAGGACATCCGGCAGGCTGCAGTTCCTTCGCATATTCCTCGCATAGGCACACAAATCGGCATCTCTCGAGGCCTGATCCTCGACCAGATCCTCATCGGGTGGCTCCCCCCGGGCCAGCATATCGAAATTCATGGTGAGGCTCTTCACGTAGCCCTTCTCCTTGGAATTGCAGTTGAAGGGACGCAACCGCGACTCGGTGGCCAGGCGTATCTGCTCCATTTTGCGCTCCTCCATGGCTATGAGCTTCTCGATAATGTCAATCTTTTTGGCTATATTCTGGCACTGATGGCTGGTGGAGTTGCCGCCGCCACTCTCGCCGCTTCTCTCCGCATTGTCCATGTTCTTTCGATACTTTTCACGCTCCTGCTGGATCTCATCTACAACGGCCTGCAGTTGCGGCTTCGTATAGAGCTTGAGGCTCTGCATATGCTCGAGATTCTCGGGTGCGTTCCCATTCTCCGCAAAGTACATCTCAAAGCTACGTTCTCCATAATCACTGGGCAGGCTTCCCACCTCCAATTCGGGCACATCCTCATCTTCATGGTTGTTCTTTGCGTTCCGCTTGGCACTGGGCGTGTACTTGATCTGTGAGACCGTGTTGAAGCGCACACTGATCTTGGGCCTGCCCATCCGCTGCTTCATGCTAGTGGCCCGCCGGCTGCTCTCGCTCGTATCGAAGCGTGAGACCTTTTTCAGACAGCTCTGTGTCCCAGCCAGGGCTCCACTGCTCACCGAACTCCTCATGGCCGGTCGCCTTTGCTGATGCTCTCGCTGCTTCTCCCGCTCAAACTTCTGCAAATTATGCTCGAACTGCTGCACCACACTGGCCGTCCTGGACTGTGATTTCTTCTTCTGTGCCTGCTGCTGCTTCTCCAAGCAGGTCAATGTGCTCATCAGATTCTGTGGCTTAGCAGGCACCGGTGGCTTGGGCTTCAAGGGTTTCCGTACGAACAGAGGCTCCCTGGTCTGCATGGGATTCGAGTTGCGCTGCTGCCGCTGCTGGGCAAAGTCTGTGCTTAGGGATTTGTTCACACCGGAGTTGTACTGCTTGTTCTTGGAGCGCATTGTGGGTATGTTATCCATTGTCCCTGGACCCTGGGCTATCCGGGGATACGTCTTTGAGTTGGGCAGCGGCTTCAGGGGCTCCAGATTGTAGCCCGTCACATCGAAGCTGTCGTAGGTAGCCGATGTCGTTGTGGTTCTGGCCGCTGCCGCCTGCCTCATGTAGTAATCAAAGCTGCCATAGGCATTGGGACTGTTCCCGTACGACTTGGACACGGGTCCGTGGATGATGAAATTCCGGATGCCCGCATGGCGCTGCATAGCCGCTGCCTGCAGGGGACGCTGCTCGAGCAGTGCCTGCTCCAGCGGGGCACTCTTGCAGTCGCTCTCGTCCGAGAGGACACTCTCCAGGCTGTTGCAGTAGCTGCCGCCATCGGACAGGAGTGACTCTTGGCTGTGCTCGTGCGGCATCTGGCCAGAGCTGCTGAGGAAAAAGCTGGCACTGGAGTGGCGCTGCGTCTCCAGGAAGCGGGCCTCCTCCAGGCGCTGTTCGCGGGCCGCAAACTGCTCCGGCTGCAGGATGTCCGAGAGGGAGACCTTCCGCTCGCACTGGTAGATCTCCCGATACACATAGGTACACTGCGTGCGGGTGGGTGTGGACTCCCCCGTGGAGCCGAGCCCCCGCAGGTTGGCCGGCATCGAGTAGGAGGCGGGCAGGCCCCCGCCTCCGCCCATTGGCATCTCATCCAGATCCCCGTACTTTCGCGTGATCTCATCGATCATCTTCTCGGTATCCGCATGGATCATGTCCAGTATTGTCCGAGCATCATCTGCGTACACCGAATGTCGCTTGGGCTCTGCTGTCATCATTCCACCGCGCTCTGATTCTGCAGACCACTCCACCTCCTCGTGGACGGGCGACACGGGACACGATTTGTAGTGCTTCAGGATGCTGGGCGTGCGTCTATTGTTTCCTGCCGGATTCCGCTTTACACCCTGCCGTGCAGGCGCTGTCTGAGTCTGCATTCGCATCGTATGGGCAGATCCGCCGCCACCGAAGGGCACTCCCGGGGGCGGATGAATCTGATGCACTCCCACATGGTGGGGATACGGCGGATAGTGCTGTTGCACTTGTCGCATGGTCTGGAAATTCTGCTGCAACTTGGATTTGGGTGCCGCACAGTTGAAGAATTGCTGAGAGGCTCCAGCATGCGATTTGTGTTGGAAAGACTGTTGTTCAGATCTTTGAGGTTGTGGTTGTTGTTGAATATTTCTGGGTGGTGGTGTGGCATTTGTTGGTGAATCGGAGGAGCTAATATACTGCGAAGTTTCATGGGAAGCAACTAATTGGGTTAGTCAACGTTTATATAGTTTTTAAGGCAGGAATTTGGTTTAATATTTCAACAATTTTTACCACATTGGGAGAGCAATATTTAAATAGATATAGTTAGAGAAAGAGAAGGAGAGATCAAACAACGGGAGAGAGTCAATTGGTTACAATTTGCCATCTACATTCCAACAACAGGTTTTCGGGGCTTAGATCTTCAAAAATCAATTCTGTTTCCAACTTTTGGGGTTCCCTAATCCCTTACCTGGCTTTGTATAACGTCCTGGAGTACCACCCGCTGTCCTTGAACCATCCAAATTTCCAGCCAGACTCAGATCCGATATGCTATGGCTACCCCTCAGGGGTCTATGGCCGACCTGTTTATGTGGAATGATATTAAGGGAAGGGTATTAAATAATTATGCGAAGTCTAGGTAGGTTTTGTTAGTTTTCATTAATTATTAAAAAATATACAATAAAACATTTAACACATGTTTTCAGTACTTTTCCTTAAGTTGTTAGTGAAGCGCTCATTTTGATTTTTTGAGTGGTTTTCTGGCTGGTTTTGCCAGCTCTTTTCCCCCGTTTCGAGTGGAGTGAGTGAGTGGTTTGGGTGGTTTAAGGCCACGCTGGCGACCCGGCTTATCTGACTAAGCAACTTTCTCAGTTGTTGTTATTTCTTGTTCGGTTATTTTTAGACGCAGCAACTATTTGAATGGATAGATGGTCTTTTGTGGGCTCTCTCTCGAGATTGGTGTTATTTTTGGGAAACTTTCAACAAGCATCGGTGGTTCAGTGGTAGAATGCTCGCCTGCCACGCGGGCGGCCCGGGTTCGATTCCCGGCCGATGCAAAAGTAATTTTTTGTTTGTTTCTCCTTTTTCATTGTCTTTTTAGTTGAAGAATTAAATAGATGCATCTATTAATTATTATTTTGTTAGCGAGGTAGTTCCGAATATTTAGTAATTAAGTATTTAAGCTTCAGATTAATTGAGATTATTCTTGCTTCTATTCGTTCTAATTGTCTGTTTTTGTCAATTCTAATAAGGCTTTCAGTTGTAGATGTATGGTAATTATGATTTAATTTTAAGGAATATTTTCCTTAGCTTATCAACGAGGTTCGAGTCGAGCAACGTGTGTTGCGTGTATTTCGTTTTTGCATTCTCGGTCTCGTTATAGCAGCCGCCCATTCTCGGTACAATATATCGAACCCAAATAAAGCACAATTTACAAATGGTATAAAGCAGCTCAAGAGAAACAGCTATGTTTTAAAGAGTATTGAAGAAGTATGAGAATTTCCCTTTCTTTCCTCCATTAATGTCATGTTGGCTGTTGATTTGGTTAGTCTTTAAGCGTTTGTGAGAGTGTCAAAGTGTTGCAGAAGCATCATTAGGTAGCGCAGAACACAGGGTTTTGTCGCTACAACGAACTCATTTCGGGGCTCACCTCGGCTATAGCATTTAACTTTTTGATGCCATTTTTGCGGGTACCCTAAACACACATAGATTCGGCGGAGAAAGGGTTGTGTTTTTTGGGTGGGGGGATTTGTGTAGATTTTTGGGAGACAGGAGACAGACACCAAAAACAAAAGATGGGCAACACATAAAAAATAAAAGAGTAAACGGAAAAAAACAGATACATAAATTAAATAGGAAATAAAAAAGACCCATGGAGCACGATAATAAAACACAGATACAAATACAGATGCCGAAGGCACACCCTGAGAGGGGACTCACATTCTCCAGCTGCTGTTTGACCTTGTTGATGACCTGCAGCAGCTCCTCCTTCTTGGTGCTAGTATATGACTTGGTGATGGTGGGCGGTGCCGAGACACCCCCCTTGCTGGACTCCGTATTGTGCTTGGCACTGATGCTGCGACGACCTGCAGAGAGAAATCGAATTCAAAATGAGAAATGAGAAATGGACTCCACGGGAGCCGGGAGGCTTTCGCTAGACAGCGACGCTTACTGGTTGTGCCACGCTCCAGGGGCGCCGTCATTCCGGGTCCCTCGGGCAGGGCTGCATGAAGGAAGCTATTGCTGCTCTGCGGCAGATTCTCATTGCTGCCACCCAAAGTGGAGGCCAGCGAACGTTCCGCATTCTCGGCACTCGGCGTGGAGCCCTCGTCCTCGGTGTCCGATGTCCCAGTGCCCGTGCCCGTGCTGGCGGTATGGGAACTGCCATTGCCACTGGCCGTCGGCAGCTGCAGGCCGGACTTTTCAAACTTCTGTCGCCGCACCGACTTCCGCAGCTCGTCCTCGTTCATGGCCGTCACTTTGAAGTCACTTTATTGGGGGCAAAAAAATCCATTAAATTTGGGTTTTAATTCGGAAAGAATCGATAGACTTACGTGGGTGTACTGGGCGCCAGATTATTGTAGAACATTCCATGGTCGGAGCTGGTTCTTTCGCCATCGGAAATGTCCTCCACATCGCCATCGTGATCGTGGGTGTGCGGCGTATCGAAGCGCAGACCGGGCTTCCGTTTGTCGGGCAGCTGCAGCCGCTGCTGGCCGACGCCGACAGCTGCCATGGCACCATTGCTGTTGTTGGCCGCCGCCAGGGAGGAGGAGGATGACACGGAGACGGTCACGGTGCCATTGTTGCTGCTGCCAATGAACTTGAGCTCGCCGCGGCGCGTCTCCATGCCCGAATCGATGGACGAGTCCTCGCTGAGATATGTCTGATTGTACATGATGTCCTTGGACGAGGCACTGTTGTAGTCCGACGTCTGCACATTCACACCGCTATGGCCGCCCACGGAGGAGACTGTGCCCAAGGGGCTCTCCGAATTGGAGCGCAGATCATCTGCCTCCAGCTGACTGCTACGCTGCGCCCAGCGTCCGCGCGCCCTGGGCGCCATCATTCCTAATTGCTGGCTGGGCGAGGAGCTGAGATTGCCCATCGAGGAGGCCGCATGCATGGCTGGAATGGACGACGATCCTCCCTGGGCACTGGGTGTGGGTATGGACAGGGCACCGCTATCGGAGTCGCCGCCCGCCGCCGCCTTTCGCATGGCCCACTGCGGCAGCTGTCCCACATCCGACAGCCGGTCGGCCACTGCGAATTTCGGCACCATTTGCGGCTGTTCTATTTCGCTGGTGGGCGACTCCAGCACAATGCCCTCTGGCGGGGATATGGGCGCCAGGGGACGCGGCAACGGGCCATGACCAGAACGTAGACGCTGCTGTGACATTCTGGCCTGCATGGTCACAATCATGTCATGTGGGACTTGCCAAATGAAGATGCAGCCGTCGCCGCTGGCCGAAATCAAATGCCGGCAATCGTTGGTGAACTTCAACCCCGTGACCAGCTCACTGTGACCGTACATGCGCGCCATGCACTCACTCGAGTAGTAGTCGTAGACGGCCAGGGTTTTGTCCGTGCAGGAGGTGGCCACATAGATCCCACTGGGATCGAGGCTGAGTTTGATGAGGCTGCCCTCATCCGAATGGGAGCCCTTGAAGGTCTTTGTTTGCTTGGCATTCTGGGTGCCATACACGCGGACATTGCGATCCTGGCAGGCGGTGAGGATATGTTTGGAATTCGAGTCCACCTCCATGTCGTAGAGCGTGGTCTTGCCCGAGGTATTGGTGCCCCGCATAAAGATGTTGCCCTGGAAAAAAGAATATCCACAATAAGTAATCCGATTCAAAGAGGGTATGTCTCCCACGACTCACCTGAAAGCTTCGGAACATTATGGATTTATCCGCACCACAGCTTATCATCTGGAAGTTCAGTCCAGCGCCCACAAACTTGATCGATGTGATTGAGGAGCTGTGATCGTCGAGCGTCTGCAGCAGCAGATAGTCCTGGGCCACATCGAAGACATGTATGAGACGATCGCGACTGGCACTTGCCAGCAGCTTGCGTTCGATCTTATCGTTGGAGTACTCCAGACACAGCACCTCCGACTCGTGCGCCTCGATGGTGGTCATCAGCTTGAGATTGACCAGGTTGTAGACCCGTATGTTGCCGCACCGGTCGCCGCTGGCCAGATGCCGCAGCTCGGGGCTGATCTTGATGCAGCGCACACCGTTGCGGCCGTCGTAGGAGGAGCTGCCCGTCTTGTCGGACATCGAGGCGCAGCCCTGGTCCTTGATAAACTGCAGCTCCTCGTCGCTGTAGACGATCTTCAGCAGGTCCTTGGAGTAGATGTTCTTGCGATAGATCTCATTGTTGGCACATCCGTCCAGGCCCCAGACGCGTATCGTATCGTCCGAGGAGCAGGTCACAAAGCAATCCTCCGGCAGCGTCTGCGATGGCTCTCGCTCCAGATTATATGGCACTGTCTCCACGCCCCAAATGCACGTGGAGTGATACAGGAACGAGTGCGACTTGCCCACCCGCGTGATATCGCGCAGATCCCAAATGTACAGCGAATGATCGTTGTAGACGCAGCTCACCTTCGATCGCTGCTCATCGAACACCATGGCAATGCAATCGGGAAACTTGGCCTGCTGCGGCACCGACATGATGTGATTGATCTGTATGCCCTGGGCCACATCCACGCCCAGATAATGGGTCCGGGGCAGCGTGGTCACGTACTCCAACGTGGCCGCATTGAAGATGCGAATGATGGACTCGGCACAACCCACGAGTATGAAGTTCTCGTTGACGCAAATGCAATTGGCATTTGTGGTGCGGCACTGCACCCATTTGTCCAGCAATCGCCGCGAACTGAACTCCACCAGATGGCCCTGGCGGGTGATGGCATACGTGCTCTCCGCACAGATCCCCTTGCCGCAGGCCACGGCACAGAAATCATTGTCCCGCAAATCGCCCAAAATAGCGCTGCGTCCCATCAGAGGGATGGGATCTTTGTACTGTCGAAGAGAAAAGAGAACTTTAATCACACATTCTCCCAAGGATATTTCAGTTTCGATACGTACCCTGCGGGATCCTTCCAAGTACCAATATTTGACATGACGATTGCCCACGGTGACAAAGTAGGTGCCGTCTTCGGCAAAGCAAACGGCAGCCACCTTGGAGCTAATCTTATTCGAGGCCATCTTTAGGTTGGCCCGCCAGTCGAACACGTTTACGATCATGTCGTGCTGTGAGCCAACTGAAACCAGGTACTTTCCCGTGGGCGAGAAGGCCTAAAGAGGGGAATTAATTAATCGATTAGTGAATGATCGTATGGAAATTGAATCTTTGACTAGGGAAAGGGATGATCGATATTTTTAGTGGCATCCAGTATACGAAATCATATTAAAACTTTCTAGAATCGCAATAAAAGTTCATTCGTAAAAGATAATATTTGATTTTGTATTGGAATATTATCGATTGTAACATTGATACATCAAATGTGTCACTCCTTTAAATCTTTCCAAGAATGTTGTATTTATGATCGATTTATCGGTTCTAGATATTCTTGATAGTCTTATCGATTGTAGACAACCTTCATCCTTTTGTTATGGACTTACCACACAGGTGACGGCATATTTGTGATCCACAAAATCGGCAATAACACTGCCGCCGGTGCAGTGCTCCAGATTGCCATTGGGCGTCTCCAGCTCCCAGACTTTGATGGCCGGATTGATGCCACATTCGCCGGTGGCCACATACCGGCCGCAGCGTGAGAAGGCGACGGATGTGAATGCTTTGCGGGAGGTATTGACCAGATAGGCCTGTGTCTGACGTTTGGCATTGAACAGCACCACAGTGCAGCTGTAAACAAGAGAAAGAAAACGGAATATTCAATCAGCCAGAGGATTCATTGAATAGATGGGTATTTATTTTTCACAATCATTTTGGCAGTGACCCTTTAAGGACGTCCTTGACCAAGTCAGAGGGTAAATGTGGCTCACACATTTAAAATGCCCAAGGATAGCCAGGCCATGTTGGCCTTTCTGCGTTCTCTTTTGCCTGGCGAGGCGACGAGGCGAAAGAGTCGTGCCCGCCCATGTCCTGCCCTTCAACCAGTTCCTGCCTCCGTTTAACCCTCTTATGACTGTAGCTAACTGCCTGCCTCCCGGCCTCCCTGCCACACTGCCTCCCTTCCTCATTCCTTATTAAGCTGCTCTTTGGGTTTTATTTCAGCCAGTTTTATTTCTGTTGTTGCTCAACGTTAATGAGAACATAACGCCCACATCTTTCACTTGTGTATGTAGTTTTATACCCTGAGAGAAGTGGATTCCCCCAAACGTTCTGGTGTCATCATCTTCTGGGAAGAACAGATGGGCTTCTACTAAAATATTCTTGGGATTAGCTATAACTACTCGTATGTTCTGTGTTAGATTTCACCCCTAAGTTTTCTCTCAGTTCCCTTTTCTAGAGCATTCCTTAGTCGTTGTAGAAGCTGCCGCATTTCTCAGTCCTTAACATTTTCTATTTATTATCCTCCAACAAATTGTGTGCTGAGAGAAACGGAAACACACAGACTGTAGGGGCCCTCAAAGTGGGAGTATATATGCAGTTTTTGTTAATGCACATAATTGGTATAATGCCTGAGCTTAATTTACTGTCATAGAAATGCGGCACCAGATAAAAAAGCAACAGCAATTGCTGCAAGAGCAGCTCAAAAGCCAAAGCAAAAAGATCACGGTATAAATCCTCTTAATTGAGTGGAACTGTTGACATTACGCATACGCCCTGGTGTAATAAGATAACTAATTGAGGGACTGTCCAGGCTCCAGACTCTATTTAATCCCGATTTGCAGCTGTCATTCCCCGGACATTTCCTGCCGCATTCCCATCTGTGTATCTCCGTTTAACCAATCTGTCATTGATAATTATTATTATTACTATTTTGCATATTACGTACACGCAGCGTAATAGCCAATTGTGAGAAAATGTTCAGTGACATATGCAAATCCTCACGAGAGGGGACTCTCTGTGGAAATTGCAGTCGCATTGACATTAAATGTGTAACCAGCTGACGTTATGTCACCTCCTAGCCTGTGCTCCTATTACCCTGGGCCTCTCCCCTGCCGCTGTGTGCATGTCTCTGTCACAGAAATTTCCCGAACTGAATCTCCCCCCATCCGAATGTGAAAAGGCAGCCATGTATGACAGTCGTAGAAAGATTAAATCAACAATTTTCATTGCAGATTTGTTTGCGGTCCCAAAATCAACCTTCTGTCTGACGGAACTGGAACCGGATTTTCTTTTAAGGCCAAACGAAAGGGAAATGAGGGATCCAAGGATGCGTGTGTGTGTTTCCTTTAATTTTAGGTTTTTCTTACCCCGCTGGATAGGCCAGGAGGCCGCTGACTGGTGAAACATCCAACGCCGCATTGCTGCACACAGTCAGACCCAAGACTTTTTTGAGTTTTATCTGCAAAAAGAGAGAACATGCGAAATCATTAGATATTGCATCACTTTTTTTTCCAACTTCTTATGTGGTAAGAGATATTTGTTTTTGGTGTTTATTTTCGTTCAGACAAGGTCGCTCTGTAGATTGTGGAACATTGAACCATTCGTAATATTTGCCCAACATTCAGTTAAAAAAAACCTACAACTTGTTGTGTGAATTGCTAACGCACACAATTCGCACATTTATCTTGTTGTTATTTTTTTGGGTTGTTTGCATATCGTACCCCAAAGCCTTATTCGACTTACATAAACCCCAACATTAACATGAGAAAAACGAAAACCGAAATGCCTCGGCACTCACTACAAATGTTAACATGATTTTCCAATCATATTTTTACCAAAATAATCAATTGGATTATGAATAAACTTGGGTTCACTGTTGACTTGATTTGGGGAGAAAGTTTGAGGTTGAATTAATCAAAAGGCAATCAGCCAGGCAGTGAGCAGCGCAGCCACAGCGGAAATGCAAAGAAATCTGTGATTATGGGCGGATGAAGGGATTTGTGGAAGGTCAAACCAAACAATTTTATGGATTAACTACTTAAATTGTTCTAGTAAAAATTACTAAATTAATTAAGGGACCTCATCGTATAAATAGTATGTTTTCCTTCAACTTTTCTTGGCTTTTGTTTCTTTAAAGAAAAAATAAACTTTTACTCTGCCTTGTTTTACCCCAACTATTCGCCGACTACCATATAATTTTGCACGCTTCTAAGTTGGGAAACGTAAAGCCCCACTAATGATTTCATTCATTAAAAACAAAACAACCATTGCTCTTTGTATTTTGCTCGTATTTATGTTCATAAATGCCGCCAGGCGAACACCCGAACAGCAGAGCAGCTGTTACGCCTCACTTGAGAGCCTCACCTTGATCTTGCCCAAGCGTTTAAGTTATGGGTTATTAAAAAACAGAGAAAAAAGGCACGAAATAGCCATAACAATTAAGGGGCGTACAGAGTGCTATAGAACACAACGGAACGGCAACGGCGACCGAACAGGTTGGGCTTTTTTCAAAAGGAAGTGCAAGAGTCAGGTTGAAGTACTCTGTGCCACTGACTACCGCATTCATTGAATGTATAGTTTTCTACTTATAGAGAGACATTGATTCGTACACCCAATTGAGTGGGCGATCTCACTTGGTTTCAAGGCACTCCATAAAAAACAAAACACTTCCATCAATGCGGCCGCATTTGCACAGAGAGCATCCGAAAGATACTTGAACGATCTGCGTCGCAGAACAGAACCCCAGATACAAACTAACGAATACATTCAGGCTGAGATCATCTCGACCGAGAGAGGGATAGAGAGAGAGTATTTGTCTACAACGAGAATCGGTTTTATTGTGGCTTGTTTCACTTAAGCAAATAACAGCAACACCAACGCATACGCAGCCTTTAAAATCTATATCTTAATGCATAAGGTCGATCTATCCCAACCGGTTTTTCACTTCTCTCTTTCTCTCTCTCTCTCTCTGAGTATTCCTCAGTATTTGTATCTCTCTCTCATTCGAATATTTGCATTTTTAATGACAATAATATGCCGTGAAATTGTAAACAAATTTCTGATCATGACTAAAATACGGCAACAATGAACACAAATCTGCTAACCGTGCCTGAATAATGATTATGATAAAAGCCGCGAATTTTATGCTACCCCCAGAAATCATGACCAAGTGGCATCGATTTCAGTTAAGTGGCAGAAAGAGAGATGATCGAGAGAGATCGAGAGGGAGAGTGCCAGAGGGAGATTTCTAAATAGAGATGTAAAAACAATTACGGGGCGTATGCGCAACGAAATCCCTGAGCTACGATTGCAACGGCAAGGCAGGCGGCGCGACGGGGGCGTAATCTGTTTTCGAAGCAATAATTAAGCAAATCAGATGCCGCCACTGGGAATTTCTTGGGATTTCAACAGATTGGAATTCTCCTTTTAATTCATTCAACATTTTTTTTGTATTAGTTATTTGATAAGATTATTTTTATTTTATTGGACTATTTATTTTATCCACTTAATCATATGAGTATTTTTAATAAAACCTTCATCTTTCTTAATCTTTAATTAAGTGAATTTAATCTGTTTCTATTTCCATTTGATTTGATTTCTTTATTTATTGACATTAAAATTACTGTAAAGTTGTTTATACTTGACTTTTTATGTTTGTGCATTTAAACCCTGTATTTATAGTTTTTTCTCTTTTCTATAATATTGTTGATTTGTTCCTTAATTACTCGTAAATGAATGACTGATTAATTTATGTTAAATTTCGCAGGTGAAAATAATTATTTTAATATGAATAGCATTTGGGGTCGAGGGATATATGGTTATAGAATATTGACTTATATTTGAAATTATATATTTTTTTATAATTAACATTTTTTTAACTGAAATCTTTCTTAAATTTAAGTGTCTGTCTTTTTCTTGTTCACTTTTTTATTTCCACTTTTTTTTTGTAGTTTTTGTTATTCCTTAAAAATCTCTTGTCCATTAATTAACGATAAAAATCAATCAAAATCCTTGCCACTCTCTCTGTTGGTTTACCCTAATCTATTTTCTATATATCCACCACAAACAGATGCCGCCAGAGCACCATAGAATTTTAAAAATCATTAATTTTACAAATTTTTCCTTTGGATTTTTTGGAAACGGAAGTCAACACACGCCATCCATCAAAGCCGAATTTGGGTGTTGCCAAAAAGAACGGCTACGGCTCACAGACAAAAAAACATTCAGCAAACATTCTTTTGTTACAAATTTGGTCTAGTAGCGAAATTTATTGTGAGCAGCCGAGAGCTGAAATTTCCATTTTGTGTGACAGATGCGGCAGTTGAATGGTAATTAATTATTATTTAATGTTGGCTTGTTTCGGATTCGGAATCGGACTCGGTTTCGGTTTCGGTTTCGGGGCTTGGGGATCGAGATCCGATGGAGTGACGAAATCATGGCCATGACAGCAAAGCAGCAAAACAGCAGAAATTGGTCAAGAAGCACAGTAAACTGTGGGCCAAAGCACAACACTTTTCGGTCAAGTGGCTTTTGGCCCAATGCCCGGACTGTGTTAATGAAATGGCCAGTGGTGTCTGTGCCTGTGATGTATGATAATCATGAAGTTTGTGGTGCTGCTGTTTATTGATTTGACCAAGTTCAATGCACGCAGCAGTTGCAGCCGAGTGCTGGCCAAATTCTATAGCTGCCCACATGGGATCGTACTGGGATTATTGCTGACTCTGCTGCCCACAACATCTGCTGGCAGAAAGGCCACAAAATAAGCTGAAATATTTGCCGGGGACAGGTGTCAACCGAGAATCCAGCAGTCACGCAATGAAAAGTCAACAAAAAACAAACCCCCACGAGAGAGAGACCATCAAAAAAGATTTATTTATGCAAATGGATTCTCCCGCCAGTGAGAACCAAACTTGACTGCAAAATGAGGAAGTTTTCAGCCGAAATTGGGTTGCCTTTTTGGCCGGGCTGTAATTTCAGCAGACTTCCAGTTAAAATACATTAATATTTATAATAAAAACCATGTTCAGTAATAATTATATTTACACATGGCATGCCGCAAATTGTTGGCTCGGTTACACTCCAGCAGCCAAAAAACCATCTACCAAGCAAGCGGTGGCGCCTCCATCAAGCCCAAGTCTTGGCCGCAGATTAAGCCGCAAAAACAAAAGCCTGGCTAATTGCCTACCCGGTTTCAATCGATAAAAGAGCAGGCGCCGGAGCAGGAAAAGATTTTCATTCTTGAATAATTAATCCATGAATTATTGAAATGCTGATAAGTCAGCGCCAAGGAGTAGCTTCTTCGGCTAAAATGAATATTAATTGCAATTATGCTAACTCCACCAAAAGTTGGCATAACTTAAAGTTTGATTTGTGGTTTGGATTTCTTTTCTTAGAAGCCTTCAAACCTGAAATACATTCTTAGGCATACATTTTTGTATTTTTGTATTTTGGTGGCACACTATTTTTAGTTAATAACAAAAAAAAGCTCAAATCTAAGTCAATTTGTTTTTGTGTACAATTCTTATTTTCAATTTTTTGTGTTGGCCACGGTTTGAGCATTTCCAATTGGCTTTCATCGGCTTATTCGCTCCCCCTCGTACATGGCCCTCATAACAAAGCAAACAAGAAATAGTACAAAAAAGACCTACATACAAATAGAAGCTCAATAGGCGAGGTACCTGCATAGATACATTTGTATCTACAATGCTATTACGTGAGCAAAATGTTTATGACTATAAAAACAAGAGCCAAAACCAGAGCCAAAGCCAAGACAAACGAATTATAGATGGAACTTTGGTTTCCTTTTGAGCTTTAAGACTCTGCCGATAGATTGAGATTCCTTACAGATCTTTGTAGCTGCTGATATTGAGATTCCTTAGAGTTTCACAAAAGCCACCGATATTGAGATTCCTTTAAGCTTTTAGAAGCTGCCGCCAGCAGCCGAAACTCGTAATTGCCTATAATTACCAGAGGCAGGCACAAAACAATTTAAGATCCGAACAAAAGCAGATAGAATATCTACAGGCCAGAGCGGGAGTAGAAAACCACAAAAATCCATTACGAATGCGGAGACAAAACTTGTGTGCCACATGAATCATGCGGCGGCGACGGCGGCCAAGACCAAGTCCACACAGCCCCCATGTGGGCCGCAACAATGTTTTAATGGCAGATACAGATACATCTAACTGTAGCTCTGGCTATATCTAAACGGATGTTGCTTTGGCAAATATGCAAAAGCGGGAAAAAGAAAGAGAAAAGCCCAGCCAGACAGACAACAGAACTTGCTTTCAAATGAAAGTTGTCTCCAGCCGACAGTCCGATTTCATTCCATCTACTACATATACTCGAACTCGAAGTCGTACTCGCACTCGTACTCGTACTGGTATCCGTATGTGGAACGACCTTTACCTCATAGGCTGCCACATCCTCCTTGCCGTAGATGGCAACTGGCGACGAGTT